CAAAGTATCACTTACTGTGAAGCTGGTGATCATTTCAGCTTCTAGCGAGGTGGAGCCCCTCCTGTCGAAAAATGAAGTGTTCCTACTCATTAACAATGAGCTCATTAAATAACCAATTCTGAAGAATTTGCAGATAAACATTGCTGATCACGTTCCCTCAAAAGATAACGGCCCATAAAGTTGAGAAAATTAAACATTTAACTTTTTTACACATTTTGTTAAAATTTGAGATCATTAATGGTGGGAATTGGCTATGTTATTAGATTACAAAATGATGTCAATTTTTTGGGACACCCTGTATATATAAAATGTAAATGAATATATATTAAAGAAAGACAAGAAGAAAAAGAAGAAGGATGTACGTTTATATATGAATGAATATATATTAAAGATTTGATTTTTGATTTGTTTGTTTAACGGCATATCGACTCCTTACGGGTCATTTAATACCGAAATTTAATTTTCTTGTGAGCTTTGAACTAATAAAAATGATATATGCTATTCTGCTGTTGAGTACACGGTAGATGATACTCAGCTTTTGTGAATATACATGTTTGTAAAGACATAATTACTAGAGGCGGTGATGTGTGTGTTTTATGTTGTTGCTTTGTTTAAGTTATATTTTGGAATACAGTTTGATTTCTTTAATGAATTGTATGACATATAGATTAATGTCATTAAAGAGTTCTTTCATGTTCATTGTTTGGTTGGTTGCTTTTGTTTAGCGCCATATCAACCTCTATGGGTTATTTAATGTTGAAATTTAAACATTTTGAACACAATTTTATGGCTTCAATTACAGAAAAATATATTGTTGGTCATTTTGCTATAAAATGTATTGTTGGTTATTTTACTATAAATATGTATTGCTGGTAATTTTTAGTCTAAAAATGCATTTTTATACTTTCATAGTGTTTTGCTTTTGTTTTGGGGCTCACTATTTGGGCCATAACTGGGACCCTAAATGGTGGTACCACACAGGGTTAGGGTGGACCTGGGAACTACAGCAATTAAGAGGGGGTTCGACACTCCTCAAAATCTCCAATGTCCCGATCAGAGGCTTTGCTGCAGTATGTGTTTTATCGTCATATCCAGGACATTAAAAAAGGAAAAGAAGAAAAAGAAAGATATACTTTTACTGAATATGCATTAACAATGAGTAGTAGTAGTAGTAGTAGTAGATGGAGGAGGAGGAGGAGGAGGAGAAAAAGGACGAGAAGAAGAATGTACATTTAAATATGAAAGAATATACGACAAAATCACACACACACACATACATATATATATATATATACACAGTTGACATGTGGTTAAAAGGTTTTCTTTTTGACCCTGAGACCGGGTTCAAACCTCATCATGCTCGATGTGTTCACTGAGGCGACTTCTTGATGTTATCGACCTTAGGAAGCCATCCCGGAGCGTGGCATCTTTGGAAAGTGGTCGGAGCCATACCAATGGGTTGACCAAAGCCTTGTAAGTGAAATTGGGTAGATGGAACCATTCGGAAGCTGTCGATGGTTGTGCTAACACAAAGTCACAAGTCATCAGATCAGACCTTGTTCTTTCCTAGAAACTATAACTAAGGTCTGCTAAATATCGTTGCTGTATGAACCACAGGTGCGCTCTGTAGATTGGTGTGGCTATCCGGTCATATAGAGCGAATTAAACTCTCAGCATGATAAAAAAAAACATACATAAAAACTTTCAACTTCTTATCAACTATCATTTTACACTTTTTAAATGTTTAAAATTGTATTAATCTTAAATACTTACTTTTGACAGGAATTTTTCATGCATTTCTTTTTTTTAATTTACTCAAACGATATTTAAAATTGCACACTGATTACATAGAATTCGAGGTAATTTCGGACAAAATGTTATATATATATATATATATATATATATATATATATATATATATATATATATATATATAGATAGATAGATAGATAGATAGATATGTGTGTATGTCGGAACTTGTTAAGCCGAATACAGAAAGGGGAGAAATGGATTCAAGCCAGTTTGTACATAAACAGTCGACGAAGGCCGCCTCCCCCCAAAAAGAACGAAAACGACACAGACGCGACAATACAACGATTGAAAGTTAATCCCTAACAGAATTCAGATAAGGATTTAATCTGGACATTATGAAGAAGAAAGCAACTTGGCAAGTTTTTTTTTCTGTTTTAAAGGGATTTGAAAGAACCAGGGAAGCTTTATCACCTCACGAATAGAAATAAATCACAAAAATAAAATGTTCATTTAATCAAATGTCGGATTTCCAAAACAAAGATAGGTAACTGGTTATGACAGCATGACAAACATGATTAAAATCAGAATATACAGGTGCGAGTTCGCAAAAAAACCTCACACCTATAGGAAGTTTATACGTGCTGGCAATCACTAATCTGGCATGCATATTTAAAGATTTCGGATGGTTAGATAATTTTTTCACTGTTGCTTTGTCTTAAACTGTAGATGAGCCAGTGTTATATAAATTACACAAGGGTCGCACAAACATGCACCATTTTTCCTGAAGTTCTACCTTATCTGTTTTGGACAACGTATGGTGTTTGCAACTTGCACTACGAGAAGCACTTCCTTTATTCATTGGACACATGGTTAGAGTTAAACATCAACAGGTTAGGATAAAATGCATAAAAGAAATGCTTTACAAGTGTTTGAAAGTATAGAAATGTTTTACAAGTGTTTGAAAGTGTAGAAATGCCTTACAAGTGTTTGAAAGTGTAAAAGTGCCTTACAAGTGTTTGAAAGTGTAGAAATGCCTTACAAGTGTTTGAAAGTATAGAAATGCCTTACAGGTGTTTGAAAGTGTAAAAGTGCCTTACAAGTGTTTGAAAGTACTCAGAAACTGCTGACGTAGCTGATAGCACCATCAAACAGGCTTGTGCAGTGACCCAGGAAATTTGAAATTGGTCTTGTGAAAATTAGTGCCGGACTACTGATTGCTGCATGGGCAACCTGTAAGAGTTGAAAAGAAATATTGGGGGATAGATGATCGTCGTATATGCCAAATTAGGAGAATAGGGAAGGTAATCACCCAGTTCAAAGTCACCATCACACACAATGTGCTGATGAAACAAGAGACGTTTCGTCAGTTTTTCTGGGTGTTTGATTTTCGTGAAATTTCGAAACTGTCTCAACAACTTGGCATAGTACCCTGCATTGATCGTGTGACTCTTTTGAAGATAGTCAATAAACACAAAGCTATTTGCATTCCCCTAAACCGAGGACAGCAATTTCCCTTCAGATGAAACGACTTTGGCCTTCTTTGTAGCAGGTGAGGTAGGGTGTTTTTGTTGGTTCAGTGATGAATCCAACACTCATTCTCGTCAGATGAGATCAGTCTAGTCCACTTTTGATTAGATGCCTGAAGACGTGGCACCCACCGAGCAGAAATCTTCGTCATGCCAGGTTCATTGTACAGAATATTCTCAACTATCTTACGGGATATGCTAGTAGCATTTGCCTATCACTCCTTCACTATGTTGTGAACATGATTAATATTTTCCTCGCTGGTGGCAATCCCATGACGTCCAGACCTTGCATCATCTTTAAGACTCTCCAATCCCTGCTAAATCCCGCTGTCCATTTTGCACTGTTGAAAAAGCTGGATAAGGAAGCAACCATGCCAGCATGAATGTCCTTGGGGGCTAAGACCTTTTTTGCAGGTACTTGACACGATACCAAATTTTATCCATTTTCAGGAGAAGTTGCAACATTTGAAGTTGTCTTTGAACAATCGAATGTCAGTTTACTTGGAAGAAAGCGCCACTTCTTCATAGTCAGCCTATGAACTTTTCAGCTCAGCCTCGTACCCGGAAAGAAAGCAATGCGGTTATTGATAAGAAGAGTTGAAATTAATGTATGCAAGATTTCACAGCTTTAGAATCATTCTTTCGGGGTCAGCCTATGAACAATTCAGCCCACTCACGTAACTCTCTTATTTGTAGCTAGATGACACCAATTCACAATTTTTCAAGGCCTGTTTTGACACTGATTACTGATAATATCTCATGGGTTTTACATTTTGTAAAGCACTTTTAAAGCGATAAAATTACACGAATAGATTAATATTTAATCCTATGTTGACTTCTTATCCACTTCTATTTTTGATTTTTTTCTTTTTTCTCTTTCTTTTTCTTTTTGTTCTTTTCATTGTTATTGTTTTTTCCTCCCTTGTTGTTCTCTAACTCTTCTGTTGTTTTAAAACGATAAAATTATTCGAATAGATTATTATTTTATTCTGTATCCGCTTCTCTTTTCTCATCTACTTACTTGTTCATTTTATTTCTTACTTTTTTGTTCTTTTTATTGTTGTTGTTGTTCTCCTTTTCTGTCTTGTTTTTCTTTTTATTTCCTCTATTGAGAAAAGGACTCTGATGTCTATTATGTAAAAAAGACAATAATCCCAAACAATCGAAAGAAAACATGAAGATCAAATCCCTTTTTCCTTGATTATCTATTTTCACAATACACTTAATTAATTTGCCTACCTTTTTCCAACCATCTTCGCCATTCCTTTATTCGCCTGCTTTCTTCATTTCTTTCGCATTTTATCATATTCTGACAAACTTTCTTCACTATTTCTTGTTCGTATTGTTTGTCTTTCCATCTCATATTTTAAAAACTCTTACCAATTTTCTCTTCTTTCTCATGTAACTTATTTCTTGAAGTTTTCTAATTTTTTCCTCTGTTCCCATTGAATATTTTGTTGCTTCAAGTTTCCCTTTTGTGACTAAGTTCCTTCCTTTATTCACTAAGTTCCTTCCTGCTCTTCATTCTGACTGCTATTCTCTTCCCGTTCATGTGCAGCGAATAAGTTTGATAAGGTAAGAGTTTTCTAGTTGCGTGATCAGCCATAAAGATGGCTTCCTAGCATTTGCTGAAGCCCTAAAGGAAATAAAGCGCGCGCTTATAACGCGAAACATGACAGCCGAGATGGTAGGAAACGTAATCGTGATAGATAGGACTTAGCGTCAAAATAAACAGAAATTTAGTGAAAAGGCAAGAGAGGTGGTTGGTTCGAGAAGAGGAGGAAGATAGTAAGCGTAAGATGAGAAAAATAGAGTGAAATAAAAATGAAAGCAAGAGTTACATTGTCTAGTGGAAAGAGGAAAGGAAGAAAAAGATAGAAAGAGGTGAAAATCTTCGTTATTTGAAGAATTCACAAGAGTCTGGCACATGCTCAGCAAATGATTTTGGATATTCATTAAGAAACAAAGTCATTGAATTCTTTGTTCACTTAAGCTGTGATCGTAAAGGAGAAAATATGGTGCGTGGACAGAAAAGAAAAGAAAAGAAAAGAAAAGAAAAGAAAAGAAAAGAAAAAGAAAACTACAAAAATAGGAATAAAAAGAAGTGACGAATAAATGAATGAAGTGAGAAAGCAAGATAGCAACAAAGATAAAAAGAGAGGAAGGCAGAGAGATTAAGTTGATTAAGTGTAGACAGAATAAAAGAGAAACTAATAGTGGAAAATAACGAAATGAAGATTGAAACGAAATAATAAATGTTATATATATATATATATATATATATATATATATATATATATATATATAATATATATATATATATATATATATATATATATATATATATATATAGAGAGAGAGAGAGAGAGAGATATTGAAATACATGAGATAGATATATAATGAATGACATTAAATAGATATATAGATCATCAACGACATGAAATAGGTTGATGGATAATGAACGACGTTAGATAGATGGATAAATATATAGATTATGAATAGACTTAGATTATGAACATATTGAGACAGATTATGAACATAGATTATGAATAGGTTGAGATAGATAGATTATGAACATAGAGAGATAGATTATGAACAGACTGAGAGATCTAGATAGATAGATTACACTGGCCTGCGATCTTTTCAAGGTCGATTATATAATAGCTGATTTTAAGGCAGGTTTTTACGCTGAATCCAAAAAGATACTCATTTTTCTAATCAGATGGAATTTTTAAGATACAAGCTCTTACTTGAAACGTATAGAACATTATTATAACTATATTTTCTTGTTGGATTAAACAAATAATGCTAAATTAAGGGTTGATCTATTTTCAGAAAGCTCACATTGTGCCATAGTAAATTGAAAAATACACAAAAGAAGCTATTCATGGATTAAAGGTCTTTTCAGAGACTTCCTCCTGTGCTCGGCAGCCACCGCATCCCGTTTCAAGTACCAGCAGTAGTCAGCGAGAACGTTTACATCCCACCGACCCTGGTAGCTCTCTTCCATGATGCGAATATCTTGGTGAAAGTGCTCACCCTGATCTTCCTTCAAATCTCCGCAGTTTGACTGACATTCGTGTTCCGAATTGGCGGAAACTCCTTCTCGTATTTCGCACTCCGGTGGTTTTCCAGGAAGTTTGTAACTTCATTGACTGCCAGGCGGACAGTTCAGCTTCGCTCATTGCTTCGTCAAACATTGGGTCCTTCATGAGTTCTCTTATTTGAGGGCCGTCAAATATACAAGCCTTGAGTTTCTTACTGCTTATCCGTGGAAACTTCTCCTGGAGGAAAGCAATCCCGTTGCTTTCTCTGTCCATTGCCTTCACAAACTTCTTCATTACTCCTAACTTGATATGTAAGGGTGGAAGCAGCATTTTGTTCGGTTCAACAAGAATGTGAGACTGAACGTTATGCAAGCTAGATATTTAATCCTTGTCTTAACGGCCATTTTTGTCTGACATAATGTTGATCATCAACCTGTCTGTCACAGAGACACAGAAAACAAGAATACTAGGACCAGTGCAGCCACCTTAAGATCTCCACAGATCAACCATTTGTGCTCCTGATAGTTAATAGCAGACAACAAATGATTCAAACTGTTGTGAGTTTCTTTCATTTGTACTGTGAATGCCCAATAGGGATAGATGAACAAACTATTCCCATTATGTAGAAGAACTGATTTGAGATTTCTGCTGGATGAGCCAATAAAAAGTCTCCATTCCGTAGCATCATACTCTAATCCCATTGATTTGATCAATCCAGCAATGTTGTTGCAATAAACCAATGACTACTTATCCTGGAATGTGGAAAACTGTCTTAATTCTCTCTCACAGTCTCTATACCAGTAGAATGTTGTTCCTGGTGCCAACAGATGTTACTTTATGAGACGTGAACCCATCATCTGAGGAGACTTCTTTGAAAGTTTCAGGTCTCGTGTCAGGTGGTTGAGTTCTGATTATCTCAAGGGTACTGCCTTGTCGTACTCTTCTGGCTTGTATGCGTCATCCCCAGCTACAATAGTCATGTCACTATGTTTGGAATCAGAGCTGTATTCCACAAATATTTCGGGCTCAGGAATATGAATGTCGGGGCCATGAGGGATTGGGTTTATGGCAGAAGGAACATTGAGGTATTGGACATCCTTTTTGTTCTTCTGAATTATTTCTTTTAGATTTATCATGCAGAAATAGCAGTTCGTAATGTGATCTTTTCCTTCCCTCCAGAACATTGGAATAGCAAATGGCATACTTTTCCTTTTACCATTCTTCCAATCCTTCAAGTTATCCACACATGTTTTACAACAAACGTGGGGAGCGAATGGCTTATCTTGATTCTCTAGTTAGACTTCAAAGTAATCACGATGTGTGCCTTCTTCACAAAGTCAGTGATTTTTGTTTGACGGTTAGGAAGAACAACATTACCGCGGATATAACAGAACCTGTCAGGATTATTCTTACACTTGCGATCCATTCTTACGCGAATATAAATGTCAAACTGAAAGAGAAAAAAATAAATCAGCACTCAGCTTGTCGTTGACAATTGACACAGTACAATTTTAAGCTAAGTGATAAATTTTTAAGCTGAGGGATAAGCCCCGCCCATCTAGGTATGTGTGTAGGGTGATACATTGTGGTTAGGTACACATACAACATTATATACTATACTAAACATCACGATCAGTTGTGACAAGTAGAGTCCACAGGATTTCGAATAAGTGTTATTATTGTGTCCAACTTGTTGAGTATTCAAGCACATCTTAAAAACCAGACCTGATCAAACACAATGAATGGTATTTTTGAATTCAGTATAAAATGGCGATCATATATTACTTGATAAACATTTGATCTTTGGAAAAAAAATTAACGCAGGCCAGTGTTATGAACAGACTGAGATAGATTATGAAAATAGATAGATTATGAACAGGATGAGATAGACAGATTATGAACGGACAGAGATAGATTATGAACAGACTGACACAGGTTATGAAGACAATGAGAAAGATTATGAACATAGATAGAATTTGAACAGACTAAGATAGTGTTATACCGTACCTATGGACTATAATGGGTATGTCCCAATAAATACAGTGGAATATACTGTACGTTGGATTGACAGGGATTCCCTTGCAATTCACCTTGATTCACTTCTAGTTCCCCGTTAGCAGTTGATTACTTAAGCATGCCGCTGGCGAATATTGTATGTTGATTCTGTTATAAATATTATCGTTCCATTTCCAATCTTCGTTTTGGTTCAGTAATCTTTTCCTTGATTACAACAGATAAATAGATAGATGATGAAAAGACTGGGATAGATAGATTATGAACATAAATAGAATTTGAACAGACTGGGATAGATAGATAAATAGATAGATAATGACAATACTGAGATAGATAGATTATGAACAGACTGAGATAGATAGATAATGACAATACTGAGATAGATTATGAACAGACTGAGATAGATAGATTATGACTAGACTGAGATAGACAGATAGATTATGAACAGACTGATGTAGATAGATTATGAACAGACTGATATATATATATATATATATATATATATATATATATATATATAGATAGATAGATAGATAGATAGATAGATAGATAGATAGAGATAATGAAGACACTGAGATATATTATAAAGAGATTGATATAAATAGATTATGAAGACACTGAGATAGATAATGAAACATAGATTATAAACAGACTGATAGATAGATAGATAGATAGATAGATAGATAGATAGATAGATATAGATAATGAAGACACTGAGATATATTATAAAGAGATTGATATAAATAGATTATGAAGACACTGAGATAGATAATGAACATAGATTATAAACAGACTGAGATAGATAGATAGATAGATAGATAGATAGATAGATAGATAGATAGATAGATAGATAGATATGAACAGAATCAGATAGATAGATATGAACAGAATCGGATAGATAGATAGATAGATAGATAGATAGATAGATAGATATGAACAGAATCAGATAGATAGATATGAACAGAATCGGATAGATAGATAGATAGATAGATAGATAGATAGATAGATAGATAGATAGATAGATATGAACAGAATCAGATAGATAGATATGAACAGAATCGGATAGATAGATAGATAGATAGATAGATAGATAGATAGATAGATAGATAGATATGAACAGAATCAGATAGATAGATATGAACAGAATCGGATAGATAGATAGATAGATAGATAGATAGATAGATAGATAGATAGATAGATAGATAGATATGAACAGAATCAGATAGATAGATATGAACAGAATCGGATAGATAGATAGATAGATAGATAGATAGATAGATAGATAGATAGATAGATAGAATTTTGGAAGGATGCATATTGAAACAGATCACATACATGAGAATAGAAGAAAGAAAAAAGAAGGAGATAGAATAAGAGAAAAAGATCGGGAGAGATGGAAAAAAAAGGTAAAGATGAAAAAAGAGTGTGAATGTTGTGAGAGTTACGAAAAGGGAGAAAAAAGATAGAAATATAAGAGAACGGCCAACGTAAAAAAGATGGTGGATACAAAAAACAGGTAAAAAGACAGAGAAAGGTGTAATTGGTGTCCTTAAATTTAAGAAAAAGAGGGTGGGGGGAACAATAGTGAGGACACGGAAAAGCTAAAATAGAAGAGCAAGCATGAAAGAGGAGGAAATGAAGGAATTTTGAAAAAGGAAGATTAAGTAAAAGAAGGAAATGATCGAAGAAATTGACTGGAAGGGCGAATAATTGAAAGTTTATTTAAACAGTTAAGCAAAATATAAAGAAAAATATAAAGAAATGGAAAATAAAAGGAAATGATAATGAAATATAAAAATAAAACACAAAATACATAAAATAAAACGAAGTGACAAATGGCAGACGATAAGAAAAATAATACAATACTCTTCCGACAGAATTGTTTCAAATCAGAAAATCTACTACTCCTATTATTTACTTGAAAATATTTAAAATATGAGAGAGAATAAACTCATGTCAAGGCGGGAATGAGTTAGGATACAATCTACGTTCTACAAGATTATCTCGAACTAAAGCAGAATATTATAACAGATTGGGAAAAGAAGTCCAACCAAGCTTATAATAAAGTTCGATGACAGAAGACATTTAGGAAGATTGGCATTGAAAAAAAGAAATGCTTAACCCTTTGAGCTCTCCGTTCCTGAACAATTTTAACCCTTCTGCTTGAGTTCCTGAGACAAAATTCCCAAATAATTGGTATGTAATGTTCCCTGGTAGATATAAAAATAGTTACATGTGTTTACCCAATACCGTTCAACCAATGGCTGGGCATTAAGTCATTTTTCTCTACCGTTGTTAAACCAGTGGCTGAGCATTACGTCAATTTTCTCTACCATCGGTAAAGAGGTGGTCAGGGGTCAAAGGTTTAAAGCAGAACAATACAGAAAACATAGAAAAGCCAACAAAATGTGTTGAAGGGAAGGAAAAAAAAATAATGGTGTAGAATGGAGAATAAAAGGCGGGGAAATGAAGCTATAGGAAAGAGAAAAATAAGATGTAAAGAAAAGAGAAAATTTGGAGAAAAGAAAACAGAATGAGATAAATTAGGAAAAAAGGCGAAAAAGAAGGAAAAAAAGCAAAATAATAATGAATGTTAAGAGAAAGAAGAAAAAAAGAATAGTGAAAGAAAATCTATAAAAGAAAGTATATATAAATGTATACATGAAATGAATGAAAGAGAGGCAAAAAAAGAAATAAATTGATTGCTGCATATCTACACACTGACCAAGTAGTCAGTAGATACGAGAATGATGACGTAGCCATTTTTTCCGAAGCTGTCTTCTAATTTAACTAACGTTTCTTTGTCCTCTGCTCCTATCACTCCTACGACTGTCAACAGCAAATTTCCTGCTTTTTTAGGCATTGCTCTGAAAAAGTGGAGAGTGCAAAACAAAAAAAAAAAAAATATATAAAAAAAAGCTCAAGTATTCAAACAAATAAAAGGACGGAGAAATAAACAGAAAAACAACAAGATCTTAAAAAGGAAAATGAGAGAAGAGATAGAAGTAAAAAAAAAATGGCTTTCCCAGTTGCTTCCCCTTCGTAATCGTTTTTACAGGATCATCAACATGGAAGTAATGCAAAACGGACGACAAGGCAAACAGATGAGATCAGGATAAAAAGGACATGATGATGCATGCATACAAATAAAGCAATAAACATATCAGTGCATAGAAGAGGCATATATATTCACATATAAACAATCATAGATTGAATATTAACAGTAGCGTTGTGATAAGCTTGCTAAATTCGTTTACCACTTAGGGGGAATTTTGACCCTATTTAAGGGTTCCATAATTTTTCTTGTGTTTATAGAAAAATGCACTAAAATTAACACACACACACACACACACACACACACACACACACACACACACACACATATATATATATATATATGGTTAATTTTAGTGCGTTTTTCTATAAACACAAGAAGAAAAATTATGGAACCCTTAAATAGGGCAAAATTCCTCAAAACTATATATATATATATATATATATATATAAATATATATATATAGATAGATATACACATACATACATATATACATACATACACACATACATATATATATATATATATATATATATATATATATATATATATATATATATATATATACAAATAAAGAGAAAGAACAGGCAGATTAAGAATCCACAGTTCTTAGCATTTACTTTTTTTTTATTTATTCAAGTGCTCAATGGTGCAAGATATTATTATAATAATTTTATTATTATATTTTATATTATTACAAAAAAATTTCTATGTTTTGGAACTTTAAGATTGCCCCTCATCAGGCAATGTTAGATAACTCACGATGAAAATGATTTACTTGGGAAATCAGAAAACAATTCTGTAGCTCATTTTGAGAGTTTAAGAGGATGGGGTGGGGAAACCAAAATTTAAAAAAAAACACATTTGTGGGCATGTCTTGATTATCCAATCAAAAGACGAATCAAAGCTAAGATATAAAAATGAAAAATAAGGTCAGAAGGTAGGGGGAGGTGGGTTATTTATTCATGTTTAGATAAATCGACACGTTAGAAACATCCACCACAGACGACATCCTATTGCAAATATAAGTTTTAAATTAGGTACCTCCAAAAATTCGTCTACCTAAGGTTTAAATAATGTATTTTTCATAAAGGAAATATCCTTTTCGAATCTTTCCAACCGCTTCAATTGAAAGCTAAAGGATTAAATTTTCTAATTCCAGAAAAAAAATACTGTGGAGTATTTCAAATAGAAATTTGAATGATTTTTAGTCGATGCTTCCGAAAAACCAATCGAACGGCCATTTTTAACTTTTTTTTTAGAGAAATGTAAACGAACTTATTTTTCAGTTTTGAAAAACGCACTAAAATAAGATATACATTTCTGAATCGTTACTTTTGTAAAATTAGCAAATTTAAAGTTAAATTAATCTGTTCTGAAACAAAAATCACTTATAGCATAAAATTTTCTAGACAAACATTTCTTGAACTTAGAGTCTTGTTATTTCACATAATTTGAGGGTTGAATGTGTGACAGGTTTCGTACGGTGCATCAAAAGTGATATAACGTTTTTTTTTGCTGCTCACATACTCCGCCCATAGCATTCCCTTCTGTAGAACCATCTCTATTACCAGTTCATCAGTGAGAAAACTGTCCGGTATTCATTGGCATATACGATGTAGATATTTTGGAAAGCATTTCACTATTCCAAATCGTCTCCAGATTTCAATGTCTCATTTTATCCCTTCTAACTTTCCGTTACTACGTTGTCAGGGAATTTTCCCGGAGTTTTCTTTGTGTGTCTGCTCTCAACACGGTGTTATTTGTCACCATTTCTAACTCAGATTTAATGAAATTTAAACATCGTTCGACATGCTGACTTTTGTGTCAATAAAGTCGCTTTATGCAGTGAATTTGCATAAAATGTAGTTTTTGTGTCAACAATTAAATCCGGTTCTTTCATAAAAGGTTTTGCGAATAAGTTTTCTAGAGTAAACCTACATGGAATAATAGCTATCAAGCTTGTCTCATAAAAGTATTACTAGGAACCCTAAATTTGTGTCCTTGTACCACACTAAGCAAGGTGGAGTAAACGGCCTTACTCACGCGGTTGAATGTATTCCCGTCGCTGTCAATATGCTCAAGTAAATAGCCATTCAAAACGTAGTTTGTCATAGATTTCTAAAACTTCTCTTTAAATGTCCGTTAAATTTGGCTCTGCAAAGATTTATTTTATTATATGTGAATTGCTACTTCTTGAGAACGTGAAATAGCTTCCCATTGCTTTCTCTATGTTTTTGAATCCAGAGAATTCATTTAGACTGGACTGCCACTCAAGGCTAGAGTTCAGTTTACTCTGTCATTTAATCTAAGTCTGCGGTTGAGGGGAAGGGATAAATTCATGTCTTTCGCAAGGGCATTAACGTGAAAGTAAACGCAGCAAACTTGACCAGAATTCGAACACGGATCGCCGGTTCCACTTTATGCGCCGATAACTGTTACGCTCTCCGAACATCTTATCAACAGCCTTGAGTTAATCCGTCAAATTTAAGGTTTTCCCATTGAGCGCTCCGATTAGGCCATGCTTTAGGATTTTCATTTGCTGGGCTCAGTCAATGTTTGTCCAAGATCCTGTTTTTTGAAAGACTGAGTAACATCAAATTCTGTTCATGTCTGCCATGAAAATTGGCTGACGCTTGTTTGGTTTTGAACACACATCACTGATATTGTTATAACGCTGCTTATTTTTCTCTCTCTGATACACGAAACCCTGAGTCATATTTTCTATCGAATTTTCCTCTTCAGAAGCATCCTTTGATATTTTAAGGTCTGCATATGTTAGCACCAAAACGTCTCTCAGCCGCCACCACCAACCGTCTTTCTTTTCTCAGCTGCAGTTTCCATTTATTCACGCTAAGTTAACACATTAAGACATAAGCCGTTACCTCATTCATTGCAGATTTACAGTCCCACGCTAAAGAGACGTATAAAAGTGATTGAATAATTGTTACGGAAATGTATTCTCTGAAGGTCGACTCGAAAACATGGAAGAAATATCGACCAATCACAACCCATTATTCTTGACGTCCACGCCTGGAAAAATTGAAGATCTCAAGCTTATTATCAATCCCCCAACAGGTTAAGATAAGAACTGGACTAAGCCAAGACTTGTAAAACATTTGCCGGCCAGGCCTGTCATTTTTCTCACCTGGATTGCCACTGGCGCTAACACACACTCAAGGTGTGACATTGTCACGACAGGTTATTAGCCGGACAGACGAATTTTCCAATTTTCCCATCTACGCCCTCGCTAGTTTATGGCAGCCAGACGATGAAGCGAATTATTCTAATTTGCAGGAAAGAGGTGCGCTAAGAAGAAAGGTGGCTGCAAAGATGAAGACAGAAAGAGATATTCAGCTGGTGGACAAGTTCGATGTGCATTTATGTGTGAATCGGGAGGGATTAATGATTTGGCTGTGGGTCGTTAAAGCCTTTTTATGGGGGTGTCTTTCTACATTATTATGCCTGCAGACTAATTTTATTTCTCCCTTTCATATTTTTCTTAAGTATTTCTTTTTTTTTTTTTACCGGCCATTTTCCCCATCATCGAAACGCACAGCTTGAACGAAACAATTTCGCACCATTTTATATCTCACACCTCACTTCATCATCATCATCATCATCATCATCATCATCATCATCATCATCATCATCATCATTTTGGCAAAAGAGCAATTCTTATTTGTCCTCGCCATGAGAAACAAGTGCAAATCAGTCAGTGGTGCCAATCAGGAAGCGTCCCATTTGCAGAGGGACTAACACACCGACTGTCTGCTCTGGGGTAAATCGAAACGTAACAATTGCATAGCATAATAGTAATTGCTTAATTTCTTTTTCTTTCTTTTTTCTTTCTTTTATTTCACCTTTCTTTTCTTCTCTTTCCCTTTTTCCATTCTCTCGTTCACCTTTCACTTCTTCTTTTTCCTCTTTTCATTCTTTCATTCACCTTTCTCGTCTCTTTTCCCTTTTCATTCTTTCGTTCACCTTTCTCTTCTCCTCTTTTCCTTTTTCCATTCTTTCGTTCACATTTCTCTTCTTCTCTTTTTCTTTTTCATTCTTTCGTTTATTTTTCTCGTCTCCTTTTTTCTTTTTTCTTTCTTTTGTTCACCTTTTCCTTCTTCCCTTTTTTCATTCTTTCTTTCACCTTTTCCCTCCTTCCATTCATTTCTTTTTTCCAAATGTCTTTCCCTCTCTTTTCCTCTTTTTTCTTTCACCTTTCATTTCTGTCTTCCTTGTTATCTTTTTCTTTCTTTCTTTCTTTCTTTCTTTCTTTCTTTCTTTCTTTCTTTCTTTCTTTCTTTCTTTCTTTTATATTTGCCTTCCCTCTCTTTCGCCCTTTTCTATTTATTTCACATATCTTTCTTCTTCTATTTTGTTCTTTCTTTCAACTTTGCCTTTCGTTTTTCTTTCTTTTCCCTTTCTTTCACATTTCCTTTCGTCTCCTCTTAAAATAGACTAAAAAAATACACATCCACGCACGTAAAATTGCACATAAGTATAAATCTATTTCTTCCACGTGTTATAAATAGTGCTCAGTGTTACGAGACAGAGCTAGTCGGAGATTCATGCAATTGTTGCAAAATGCGAGCGTGAAATAACGGTCAGATTGTATTTGTACCTGAAGATTACAGCAACTGCATGAAACTCCGATTCGTGCTATCGACGTTGAATATTAATATATATATATATATATATATATATATATATATATATATATATATATATATATATATATATATATATATTAATGAGTACAGACGATCCTTAAAAATCCATTCTCTTATAATTTATTTTATGAATATACAAATATCCATCTCTTCAGACCGAATCTTTTTAAGAAATGGAGTCAATTTATCCTATATATATATATATATATATATATATATATATATATATATATATATATATATATAAGTCCAGAATAACAATATAAATATGGTTGACAGTATCAATAGAACTAGTAAAATGATTACTGAAAAATTAAAAATAAGTGATAGAGTTGGCAAACTGGCCAAAAAGGAGTGCTGCATCACTCTTAAGGACCACAAACACGGTTTTGAGGAAGACCCCACTACCAGAATGATAAACCCTACTAGACCCGACATAGGAAAGATAAGCAAAAAAATCCTGGAAAGGATCACTAGCCAAATTAAAAAAACAACTTGGATTAACACTCTGGATTAACACCAAAGAAGTCATAAACTGGTTTACCAACATCGACAATAAGCCCGACTGCACCCTAATTCAGTTCGATATTGTCGATTACTACCAGTCAATATCAAAAGACCTCTTCACGACTGCCCTGGAGTTTGCGACAGTATATTCTGACTTAACTAAGGAAGAAACAAACATAATTCTCAGTGCAAAGAAATCTGTCCTCATCCGTAATGGGGACCAGTGGATTAAATTAATAGTAAATAAAACAAGAACTTGTAAAACCTGGGATGACCCATGCCCTTTATGTCTACAGGAAAAACTACACATCATTAAATTTCTAAATAATGAAAAATTATTAAACCATAGGCAGGAGTTGACGGTTTTTTGCCGACATCAACAAACTTTCGCATTAAATAATTATCATAAAAAAAATCCCATAGCTAAATAAAAGTCTTAAAAGCTTAGCCAAATCATTAAATACGAAAAACCCTTTTTGTAGTCGTCAAAAAAAAAAAAAAAAAAAAAAAAAGAAGCAACAAATTGAAATTCAGTGCAATACGATTTGTATATAAAACACCCACTTGAATAAACAAATAAATAAATAGATAATCAGATGGACAATAATAAAAGACAATTCTCCAGACACATAACGACTTGTAGGCACGCCATAAAAATATCCCTCACTGGGAAACAACTAAAAGGTGACCGCAAACATTAGCCTTGAAATAGATACCCTACCCAACCTTAGCAAAACCTCTCAGAAGATGATGAATCTATTGATAAGAATTAACTCTCTGATCACTTAACAAAGAAAAATAGTCTAGCCACTCCCACAATAACGAATTTTGTAACGGACCATGCCTAAAAACATACGTAAACCGAGCTTATTCTTAAAATTTTCGCTTGAAGATGAAACGGGTCTAAACACCTCAATCCAACTTAATTTTAATAATTAGTTGGATGGTTTCGGCTCTCGTTTTTGAAACATGAGAACTCTTATGTAGCGAAGGAATCATATTTTTAAACAAAAAATATTATATATATATATATATATATATACATACAGAGATACGTAGATAGGCTATATTGATGTAACTTACTTAAAGTCACGAAAATTAAATTTAATTTGTCTGTCTGTCTCTGTCTGTCTGTCTCTCTCTCTATACACACACACACACACACACACACACACACACACATATATATATATATATATATATATATATATATATATTTACCTATCTTCTGCTGCGTAGGTTCTGGTGTCACTTAATTAAATTTCAGTTGCCCAAGGAAGTTCTTTGTTAGAAAGTGTAAGTAACATTCATACAAGCAAATCAAATTGTATCTCTTTATGTTATTATTAAAAGCTTAATCTTCAAAAGCAGGAAGACACAGTCAGATGTTTGTCTGCTAATTGCTAGGTCTTACACTCACCTAATGAGTTTCATTATTCTTCCCATTTTAGATTTGCAGAAGGTTTAGAATGGCATAGATTGGCGCAAATATCCACGCCAATTTAAATAGAAGACTCATTTTAACATGCACCCCCCCACTAAGTATTTTAGTCATTAACATATTTACACAAAATTAGTGGAAACTTTAAACTTCCGTTCAGTGATCGTTGATATTTTAGGGGAAAGTCAAACAATTGTAGATATTGAATTCTTCTTCTTCTTCTTCTTCTTCTTCTTCTTCTTCTTCTTCTTCTTCTTCTTCTTCTTCAAGTTCTTTCTACTTTTTCTTTATTCCTCTTCTTTCTATTTTTCTTTCTACTTCGACTTCTTTCTTCTTCTTCTTTCGTTTTTCTTTCTTCTACTTTCTCTTTTTTCTTATTTTTTCTTCTTCTTTCTTTTTTGTTTCTTTCTTCCTCTTGTTTCTACTTCATCTTTCTACTTCGACTTCTTTCATTTTCTTTCTTTTTCTTCATTTTTCTTTTTCTTCTTCCTCAAGTTTCTCTACTTTTTTCGTCTTTCTTCTTCATTTTCCACTTTTCTATTTCTTTTTCTTTCTTCTTCTTCTTCTTTCTACTCCATATCTCTACTTCTTCTCCTTTCTTTTTAATTCTTCTTCTTTCTTTTTCTGCTTCTTTCTTTTTCTTCTCCTTTGTTTTTCTTCTTCTTTCTTTTTACTTCATCTTTTTACTTCGACTTCTTTCTTCTTCATGTGCTTTCTTTTTGATTCTTTCTTTTTTACTTTCTCTTTTTCTTCTGCTTTCTTTTACTTTTTCTTTTTTTTCTTCTTACTTTGTACTTCATTGTTTTTCTTCTTCTTCCTGAAATTTTTCCACTGTTTTCTTTCTTCTTTCTACTTCATCTTTGTACTTCGACTTCTTCTTTCTTTTTTCTTCTTTCTTTTTTCTTCTTTCTTCTTCTACTTTCTCTTTTCTTTTTTCTTTTTCTTCTCTTTTTCTTTTTACTTCATTCTTTTTCTATTTTTTCCTTCTTTATTATTCATTTACGACTTTTCTACTTCATTTGCTTTCTTCTTTCTATTTAATCTTTCTACTTCAACTGCTTTCTTCATCTTCTTTCTTTTTTTCTTCCTCTTCTTTTCTTCTTCCTCTTCTTCCTCAAGTTGATCTACATTTTTCTTTTTTCTTTATTCTTCATTTCGAATTTTCTACTTATTCTTTCTTTCTCATCTTCCTGCTTCTTCCTTTTTTTATTCTTTTTCATTCATTTTCTTCTACTTTCGTTTTTCTTTTCTTTTTTAATTTTTCCTTCTTCCCTCTATTTCTTCCTCTTTCTTTTTTCTTCTTTTATCTTTTTCTCCTTCTTTTTTTTCTTCCCCTTTCTTTTCTCCTTCTTCCTCACGTTTTCTACTTTTTCTTTTTGATTTCTTCTTCTTCTTCATTTACAGCTTTTCTTTTTCTTTCTTCCTTTTCCTTCTACTTATACTTCATTCTTGTTCTTTTTTTTATTTATTTATTCTTTATTTTTCTCCTTCTTTTCTTTCTCCTTGTTTCTTTTTACTTCTCACAGTTTTCTACTTTTTTCGTTCTTCTTTCTTCTTCTTCTTCTTCTTCTTCTTCATTTTAGATTTTTCTACTTTTTTCTTCTTCTTCTTTCTACTTCATCTTTCTACTTCCACTTTTTTCTTCTTAGTCTTCTTTCTTTTTTTTCCATATTCTTCATCGCCTTTTTTTTCTTCTTACTTTCTCTGCTTTCTTTTTGTTCTCCTTCTTTCTTTTTTCTTCTTTCTTTTTACTTCTTCTCCCCAAGTTTTTCTTTCTTTTTCATCATTTTCGACTTTTATTCTTCTTTTCTTTGTACTTCTTTTCATCTTTGTACTTCGATTCTTCGTCTTCTTCTTTCTTTTTTGTTCTTTCTTCTACTTTCTCTTATTCTTCATTTTTTTTTCTTCTCCTTTTATCTTCATTCTTTTTTTTCTTCGTTTCTACTTCATCTTTATACTTGTACTTATTTCCTTTTCTTCTTTTTCTTTCATTTTCTTCTTGCTTTTTTCTTCTTTTTTTACTCCTTTCTTTTCCTTTCTTCTTCTTCTTCTTCTACTTTCTTTTTTTTCTTCTTCCCTTCTTTCTTCTTCATTTTCCCTGCATCTTCTTTCTTTTTACTTCAGATTATTACCTTGACTTCTAACTTCTGCTTCTGCTTTCTTTTTCGTCTTTCTTCTTCTACGTTTTTCTCCTTCTTTTTTTTTCTTCTTGTTTGTACTTCTTTCTTTTTCTTCTTCTTCCTCAAGTTTTTTAATTTTTCTTTCTTCTTTCTTTCTTCTTCTTCATTTTCGACTTTTCTACTTCTTTTGCTTTCATTTTCGACTTTCTATTTTATCTTTTTACTTCAACTTCTTTCATCCTCTTCTTCTTTTTTCTTTCTTCTTCATTTACAACTTTTTCTTTTACTTTCTTCCTTTTCTTTCTACTTCTTTTTACTTTACTTCTTTCTTTTTTCTTTCTAATTGTTCTTCTCTTTTCTCATTCTTTTTTCTTCTCCTTTGTTTTTTTTTTTCTTTCTTTTTATCCTTTTTTTTTCCTTTTTCTTTTTTTTCATTTTGGAACATTTTCTTTCATTTTTTTAAAAATTTCAAAATTTTTTCTTTTTTTATTTCCATTTTTTTTTTCTTTTTTTTTTTTTCTTCATTTTTCTAAAATTTCTTTCATTGCATTTCTTTTCTTTTCCTTCTTCAAGTTTCTTTTTTTTTTTTTTTCTTCCTCCATTTTTTTTTATTTTTTTTTCTTTTTTTTTTTTTTTTTTTCTTCTTTTCCTTTTTTTCTTTTCTTTTTTTTTTCTTTTACGAATCTTCTTTGAATTTTTTTTTTTTTTTTTTCTTTTTATTTAT